GGGGCTCCCCGCTGGAGCCGGGCCGGGCAGCTGGTCGGGACAGACCCGCGTCTCCTGACCCGCGCGTGGACGCAGCACGGAGTTGGCCGGTTGGGCAGCCGGAGCCTGGCCTTTGTAAGTGCCCGTCGCCCCCTTGTGTAGACGGCCCTGGGGATGGAGGGCGCAGTAGCTTGTCCAGGGCCACAGTGTGGGGGCGCAGAAATCGCTGAGCCCAGGGCTTTGCTCCTGACTCAGATTCATTTCCTGAGAGCCCTGCATCCACCCACCCGTCCACCCACCCGTCCACCCACCCTGCTTGCCTGCCATGCGGTGGGAGGCACGGGCCGCGGAGAAAGGCCGCTTGATAGCCCACAAGTTTGAAGACACTTTGTGAACAAACTTACTCCCCAGCTCAAGGGAAGTAAAGGTAGGGGGTCAGTGCAAACAGAAGCTGGGAAAGAAGTGAATGTGGTGTATTTCACTGGGGCTAGAAGGAAAGGGACTTGAGGTCTTATTCCCAAGCCTAAAAGTGACTTTGGGAGTTGGGTGGAGTTATTTGGCAGTGTCCCTGTCTGCAAAATAACAGTGGTCTATACTTACTAGGGACCAAGTACTATTTTAAGTGTTTTACGTATGCTTACTCATGTAATCTTCACCAGTGAGGTAGGTACTAGTGGTGTCATTCTCATCAGTGAGGAAACAGAGAGGTTAGGTAACTTGTCTAAGGTCACACAGTTAGCAGGCAGCAGAGTCAAGATTTGACTTTGGAGTTTGCTTATTAACCCCAATCTGTGCCTTAAATTTAGGACCCTTTTTGGCATGGCCCCCCGGGGTTGGTGTTTTGTTGTTGTTCAGCTTTGTCTCTTTCCTGGATTGCTTTCAAATTCACTCAGAGACCCTTGAGGCCAAAGGGCTTCAAATGGTCAGAGTAGCCAGGGGCTCCCAAACTCAGCTGTGCCTCAGACTCATTCCTGGAACTTTCATAGCGCTGAGCTCCAACCTCAGCTACAATTCAGAATCTTCAGGGCACACTCAGTTCGGTGTCGCCCCTGGTGGCATCCAGCCCTGTTAGAATGCCCACAGTGGCAGGGAGCTCACCACCTAACATGTCATTGCTGGACAGAGCTAATTCTCAGCAGTAACCGGCCTCCTTGTGACTTACATCTTGGTCTCAGTTCTGCCTCCTGTTGTCCCAGTAAAAGTGTCTAAGAACACTAACACACCAGGTCTCTTTTCTTTCATCTGAAAGACCAGGGGCACCTACTGGGATGCACAGAGGTGTTCCAGAGTCTCTGATGTCCTTATAACCCTCTCGTCTTAAAAAAGGAACCACTACGTATTATGGTTTTGGAAAAGGACTGGGTGGAAATGTATCTAACAAGAGGAAGCGGTGTGCCTTCCTTGTGGGAACTGGGCTGGGGCACAGTTGGCTCGAGTAGAAAGGAATCTTAGTGAGTGTCATCTGGCTCCCTTACAGGAATGGTGAGCCCTGGCCCTCCTTTCCCTGGGGGAGGAAGTCCTCCTTGATTGTAAAAAGAAATATGTGAAATGGGGAAAATAAAGGAAATAGGATCTTGTGAGAAATGCCCCTCCCTTAAACAAGCTTCCTTGTAGCTACATAAAGTGAGAGTTCATTTTCTCACAGCTGTGTCCTTGGTTCCACAGCCTGCCTTCCTTTCTCATTTTAGCTCTACGGGTTTTCAGTTTTTATTTACTCCAGGTTCTCTGTGTGTGTTTTTGTTGTTGTTGTTTTTATGGTCTTAAAATAATACAGGCCTGGCTGGTGTGGCTCAGTTGGTTGGGCATCACCCTGTGCACTGAAAGGTTGCCGGTTCAATTCCTGGTCAGGACATCGATTCCCGCCCCCTTACTCTCTAAAAATCAATAAAAAAATCTTAAAAATACACATAATAACCGAATACATCCTCATTCAAACAATAGAGAAGTATATGGAATGTACTGTGCAAGTACCACCATGCCGACTCCCACACAGAGAGCGAGCGCTGTGTTCGGTAATTACCATTCCAAGATTGTTTTCTTCTCTATGCATTTGCACAAGATGTACATATATATGTTTTAATATATGTAAACGAGGTCTTTTTATAGATCGTGCAGCTTACTTTTTCACTCCCAAGCCTTAGCGACCCTCCCATGTCTGTAATACGCCTTTTGGTAATGGCTACATGGCACCCCAAGGTAGAAACACACTCTAGCCGCCCTTGCCCTCATTCGTGGCCAGTGAAAGCGCTTCTGCATTAGCGACAGGACTTCGGGGGGGCGGTGCACTCATCTCTGTGCGTAAGCCCGAGTATTTCTGTGGCACAGAATCCTGAGAGAGAGATTCTTGCATCAAAGGGTTTGTCCGTTTTTTAACTGGATAGATACAACCCTGCAAACTGCACCACTGCCCACAGCGCAGGCACCAGGTCAAACAGTGCCTGAGCGTCGGTGTCCCCCCTCCTTCCTGGCGTCGGCTGTTACTTTTTCGACTTAAATGTTCACGTCTGGTAAACGAGGGAAGCCCAGTGAGGCATTCATGCTGCTGTGCAGCCATCAGCACCGTCCCTTTTCAGAATTCTTTTCATCTTGCAAAACTGAATCTCGGTACCCAGTAAATAGGGACTCCCCATTTCCCCCCAGTCCTCTACGACGCCGGCTACTTTGAGGCACCTCATCTAAGTGCAGTCCTACAGTATTTGTCCTTTTGTGACTGGTTTGTGTTACTTAGCCAAGTGTCCCAGGTATCAGGACTTTCTTCCTTTTTCAGGCTGAAGAATATTCCGTTCTGTGTCTACGCCACATTTTGCTCATCTATTCATAATATTTTTACTTTAATTCTATTTTGCTGCGCAGAAGTTTAGATGTCTGCGTAATCAACTCTGGAATCTCACGGTTTCTGTGCTTTGTCTAGTTTAGGAAGGTCTTCTTCACCTAAAAATTATTTTCAAAATCATCCTGTCTCCTAATACAGTATTTTAGTTTTTACATTTAGCTCTTTAAAATATCATAATTTTGTATAAGTTGAAAAATAACCATCAACCGTTTTTCTAGAGTTCTGGGCAGTTAACCTGATAGAATTTATTAATTCATCCATCTTTTCCCCCACTCACGTGAAATTCTGTTTTTATAGTAAAATAAATTCCTACTTATACAAGGGTCTCTTTCAGAACTTTATTCTGTTTAATTGATCTTTTTTGTCTCTTTTTATGCCAGGACCACCCTGTGTTAAATGCTGTAGCTTTATAGGATGTTTTTTATATCTATTAGCATATATTTGTACTTTTCTCAAAAGAATTTTAGAAGTGATGCTTGTACACTTTCTCTTTTATGTAAACTTTATAAACAGCTTGTCAAGGTTACCAAAATCCTGTTGGAGCCTTTCTTAGGATTTTCTCAGGTTTATAATTGTTGGTGGCCTTTTATGCCTTAATGTACATTCTAGTGCGAGCTGTAAGCGTGGAGGAAGCAGTGTGATGAGGGAGGTGCCACCCCTTGGGGAATGACTCACCTGGTTTAAGTTCTGCATGAACTATGCCATCCTGTGTTGAAGTTACTTTTAACTTTTTTAGCCTCAGCTCCCTCATCTGTGTATGGAGATAATAACAGAATCCCTTCCATGGGGCTGTTGTGAGAATAAATGTACGTGAATCACTCAGCGAAGCACCTGGCAGAGACGTAGCATCCAGTATGCACTAGCTGGGATTATTAGCGTGGCGGGAGCCAGCAAGTATTTTTCATTATAGAGCGATAGTATCCCAGGGGACAAAAATACGTCATAAACATTGAGTCTAGTCGTGTTTCTCAAACTTCACAGTGCATGCACATCACCGGGAAAGCTTGTTTAAATACAGATCTTTCTTCCATAGCCCTAAGATCTGACGGAATACTTGCATTTCTAACAGGCTCACGGGTGGTGTCGGTGCTCCTGGTCTTTCACCCACCCTCTGAGTATATAGTCTTTCACTGATTTTAAAATTATCCTGGTAGTGATAGTATTTCCTACGAGGGTAAGTGTGATTGACAGGAATTATAAATTGCTTTCTCTTAATATTATATGCTAAAGAACTACGTTGTAGTTGTTTCCTTTCACCCTCCCTACCCCCCCCTTCTCCCTCTCCCCTCCCCCTCCTTTTTAAGGAAAGAGGGTTAGTGAGCCCACTAACTAGAACACCAAGCTCTACTCTCAGCTCTGAAATCCACCATCAAAGTTTGCTGGTGAGAGGAGTCCCATGTTGGGCGGAAAAGGTGCGGCTTGACTGGCAGCAGCCGGGGGCCTGGGCTTGGGGTGAATGTGCAGATGACCCAGCTGGGCTCCTGCACTGGGTTCTGAAGGACGCCCTGGGCACAGCTGCGCGGTCGCCAGGCACTCTCCTCTCCCAGACGGCTTCCTGTGCACGCTGTTCTGAAACTCGCTCTTCCATTCAGTATGTTTTGGACATTCTTCCATGTCAGTTCATGTATTATTTCATTCTTTTTAACAGTTGCATAGTATTCCTTTGTAAAAATGAACACTTATATTTTATATTATATTTTCTAGTAACAATGCCTACTTCTTCAAACTCTTACCAATACTAGATCTTAAGACCTTTTTAAGTTTTCCAATAGGACGCCACACGGACACACACACCACTGCTGTTCTAATTTGCAGTTATTTAATTATTAGTGGTAGCATCTAGCTTTTCTTTCTTCACTTTTGGTTACTGTTTCCTTCTTCTTTATGAATTGCATATTCATGCCATTTGCCAGGTTTTCTACAGGGTTGCTAGTCTTTTTTCTCATTGATTCCTAAGGGCCCCTTATGTAGCAGGGATGGTAATCCTTTGCCCTAAACATCGAAACTGTTGCTCTGTTTGTTGTTGGTCCCACTGTAGCGCTGTTTTTAAAGTATTTAATCAGTGTAGCAGTCTTTATTCATGCCTCTCCTGGTTTCATGCCACCCTCCGACAGACGATGGGCCGCCACTGCGGTCTCTCTCACGAGGCGCACATCCCGCAGGTGTGCTGGTTGCACAGTGTCTTTCAAACAGCGTTTGGGTATGACGCCATCGGGCACCCAGCCAGTTTGAGGAGTCTGGCAACACACCCACGTTCTTGGGAAGCAAATGGCTGATCATGCCACTTCTCGAGGGGATTTTTGCAGGGAGGAAACTTCCCAGGAGTAAACATTCAGTAATGACAGGACAAGAAGTGCTGGTGAGGGAGGGCCGACGTGGCCTTATCAACAGTCGTGCTCTACTGTGATGTCGTGTTTGTACTGACGGGCAAAGGCATCTTGATTGTGCAGAGACGCGGTTTGAATGAGAAGTTCTATAAGGTGAGCGGATAGCTTTTCCTTTCTCTCCTCCCTATTTCCCCCCAGAGAAGGAATGTTGATGAGAGACTATAAATTAGACCATAGTCGGCCACAGATGAAATAGAAACCTATTGTAATTAAAACCGAAAGCAAAGAGAGACTGTGGGACAATTGGTACAGGTTATTATTCACTTACCAGATATTTACTGGAACTATGACAGACAGTCGGAGTAAAATCCAGCTCTGACCCCAAGCCAGCCCTTAGTCTGGCTGGGAGTGATGGGGATCTGAAAGTCAGAGAGAAACACAGGGTAGATCTGGGGAAGGGCCACGGAGCGCGGGTGAGGCAGGGAAGGATTTCTCCTTTCTGAATTCTGCCACTTGGTGTTTCCTGACTTTTCCTACTGAAAGTCAGAAGTGGCAGCCTCCTCGCGGATGGCTGTGGGAAGGGGAGGCTGTCGAGGGAATGAGAGAGCTCGGTGGCCTGTCCCGGTCAGGAGCAGAGCTTCCGGGGAAAGCCACCCCCGCTGGGGGGGAGCAGGAGCAGCTGATGCTGGAGGCGCTCCCAGCCCATGCCCACACAGCCCTCGCCCTTGAGTCCGTGCTAAGGCCGGGCCTAATCTGGGCTTTTGTTTAGATCTGCATGAGAGAGCGGAGAACAGGGTGTGCGGGGCCCCAGAGCTCCGTGCCGGGGCCTGTCTTTCTGTCTGCACTCCCTGTCTTGGCACCTGAATTTATGCCCGGGCCAGGACCCATCCCAGGAACTCCTTACTGTGTATCCAGCTAGCTCCTTGAAGTCTGTTCTCCATCTCACTTTTAACATGTCACGAATTGCGCCCCCATACAGCCCACTAAGTCTGATCTGCTTCTCCCTGAGTGCTAATTCCACTCCCCCAGGGGCTCGGCCCAGATTCCCCGAGCCAGCCGACGCCATGCTCTGGCACCCCACGCCCTGCCGGCTCTGTCTTTCCGTCCCTGTCCCTGTGGGATTCCGCCCCTGCTGCCCTCACCCTGGTCTCAGCCATGGCCGTTTTCCTGGGACTGTCGCTGGAACCTCCTAACTGCCCTCCCTGCCCCGCTCTCACCCCTGCAGTCTCCTCTCTTCCCCGGCCTCCCTGTTCCCTGAGTTAGACCAGGTTGTTCCTCTTCTTGAAGTGCCCTGTGGCTGCGTCTTCCCCAGAGCAGAAGCCACAGTTTCAGATGTTTCTCCCGTTTGCTCTCCCCTCTCTGCCTGCCCCAGCTTTCACCTCCTGTCCCTCACCCCAGCGCCTGGCTCCTTCCTCGACTCTGCCGAGTGCTCGCCTGCCCCAGGATCTTTGCACAGGCGGCTCCCTCGCCCCCAGGTTTTCACGGTGTCAGTCAGGGTCCCATCGGGAAGCAGCTGGCACTCGGAATTGATAACTCAAGGAAGGTTATGTAGAGGTGTGGAGGGGCCACGTGCGTTGTGCAGTCGCCTGGGACTTGCAAGCAGCTGCCTCTGAACCTGTCGTGTCTGTTTTTCCCACAGTGTGAGCCCCTGTGCTGTCGGGGTAACTGTTCACGTGGCATTTCCCAAAGGGGGCTCCACGCGTGTCTGGGGTGTTCCAGCTGCTGAGGCTCATTCTGCAAGTTTTAGTGAATGTTAGCGATTTTACCAGAAGGTTTTCAGACAACAGCAGGGACTCGTGGCCCCTCTGCAAGTGATTCTGAGGTGGTGGCTGGATGTCCAGTCAGACCAGGGGGAGAACCACCACTCTGCTTGTGTGCAGTGACCACCTCGTCATGGTTGCCACCTGCCCAGCATGTGCAGAACTGCACGTCAGACCTATGAGAATAAAAACAGCAAATCTGAACAGCTGCTGGAGCTAAGTCCCAATGCGTGCGAGCTGGGGATGGGGCGGAACGTCCAGACAGCGCTGCCCCGGTGATCACCAGAGACTTTCCTGCCACACCCAGACCTCAGAAATGTGTCCTGTGTCAATAGTTACGTATTTCAGTTGTGTCATATGACAGCTTTTCTTTCATTTCTGGTTACCCTGGACGGGTAGGTGGCTTCTAACTTTTAGTTTTATGTTTCTCTACCCCTACAACTTATTTTTTGCAACACGTAAAATATTTGATTTGCTAGAACTCCACATTTTTAGAAACATTTTAGACAGGCCTTTAGGAAAGACAACATAAGGCTACATGCCCACCGCCTCAATTCTCTGCTTTTAAATTTTCGGCTCGAGATTTCCTTAGGCGGCGGCGCCTGCAGCGCCCAGGTGGTGTCAGTGGGCTCAGGCGGGACTGGAAGGTATTCACGCGGCACGGTGCCCGTCAGACACTCCGCCTCGGCACTTTCCCCTGGCCGGCCCTTTGGTGCTCAGCATAAACTATTTTCTCTGAAACGAGTCCCCCTACCTGGCCTTATATCCACTTGTACTGAGAGCCAGTTTGAAGTTGTAAGTACAGATTTTAGAGAGGAATGAATGACCTGTGGGCCAGATACAAGCAGCAGAGAGCAGTGCTCAGAAGAACGTGAACAAAAGTTGCTGTTTGCAGACTTTTGCTTCCGTTGCAATTGGGCTCTGCTCACCTGCAGCAGGTGAGACCGCCGCAGAGTCATTGGATGGTTTGGTTTGCCCCTTTCCTGTCCTCACTGTGTTCCCATTTACCTGTGAATACTATAAAGACTAGAGAGAGTGGGCGGTGGGAGTGGATGGTCTGGCTCACTGACTTTCTGGTTTGCTGAGAGCCTGGTGGCCAGACAGAAGCAAATTTTGACCTTGGACTATTCCTTTGCTTCTCTCTGTGATGAGTCAGATTTGAAGTAGAAAAGTGAAACTCAGTGCTTCCCCTGACTAACGCATTTATTGTTGAATTAAGAACGTACTGGCCTTCTCGAGGTCATCCGGGCTCATTCTGGGGCCCTCAGTCTGTCCCATGGTCAGAGGACCTGATGAATGAGTGACGCTCTGTGGCCTGTGGTTTAAAACCGGAAATTATTTTGAACAATGAAACGCCCTCTGAGGGTCGAATGGGCCACTTTTCCGAGGTGTGATTTTAATGAGGGAGGAAAGGAGCGGGAAGGTGAGTCCCTAACAAGGAATTAGTTCAGACTAGCCCTTTTGAGACTAGATTTTGTACTCTTTCTCGTCAGTTGGGTTTTTTATTTAACTGTGGATTCCCTGCTCTGCCTTTCAAACCTCTGGTCAGTTTGAAGAAACTGGTGGGTGAGTTGTCTCTCAGCTCAGAGCCGGAGTGGCGGCAGTGAGGGGTCTGCGTCCCAGCT